TCTATATTTCATGCTTACTTTTCAGTTTCTATGGCACAAAGCTGTGAGAGGGCTTGAAAAGCAACGTGCAAGAGAGACATTAGGGTAATGGACAAAAGGGTGAGGGTGGGGTGAGGGTGTGTGGGTGGCTGTCTAAAGGCTAACAGTTCTTATATGCTTCCAAGTTAAGCCAAGCTGAATAAATCCAGGCCAAGTTATCATTGTCCCACACATAAGGTGTCTAAAAATCGGCAGACAAAATGTATGTGAAACGTTTCATTAAAAAGGGAAACATGATCGTTAGTTTGCTTCCCAAAATGTTCAGTCCAGAATGTTTTTGCTCTTTGCTTCAAGACATAACATTTGAAATAACAGATGCAACATTTAAGTGTCAGCTCTCAGTAAAAAACAACACTAATAAATGCGGCCCAGGGATAAATGATTAAACCTATTATTGATGAGCTCCAACATTATTGGTCCTGCTCTCGGTACTGAAAAAATTAAGAAAATAGATTTCCTATTTATCGTAGCTGCATAAAAGCCCACACACAGATCTAACTAAATTATACAAACATGAGTAAATGATTAAAATAGCCATTATCTAACTGATTGTAATGGGTTCCTCCATAAATTCAATCTAAATTGCCGTTCAGAAATTTAGTTTCAGTCTCAGGTCGCTCAGAGCAAGGGCAGATTTATAGATCTGGGGGATGCAGGCAAACTATCCCCTACACTCAAAGTCAACAGTAGTGATTTGTTCAAACATGATGTTTCCTTTGCTGTAAGTAAAAACTAGAATTACCGCACTGCGGTTGTATGCCTCAGCAAACCAGTGCGATAACTGGTACTTATTTCTACTTCTAGATTCATATAAAGTCACTATGACCTTTGACCTCTAAAATGTAATCACTTAATCTTTGAGACCAAGTGACCACTAATCCAAAATTGAAGAGATTTCCTCAAGCATTCTTGAGATATCACACTCAAGAGGCCATACAGCATGTTTCATGAAGCCACCCTAACCTTGACCTTTGACCAGTGGAGTCTTATCAGTTTATCAGTGATTGCAGGTGAACATGTGCGCCAAATTTAAAAGAATTATCTCAAAGCTAAACAAAGCTAAACATGTGTTAGAGAGGTCACAGTGACTTTTGACCATCTATATTCTAATCAGGTCCATGAGTCAAAGTGAATTGTGTCCAATGAAATGTAAGTCCTGATATCACATCCACAGGAATGTGGGGTCACTGTGACTTCCAGGCGCCAAAATCTAATCAGTTCATCTTTGATTCCAAGTGCAGTGTTGCTCTGAGGTCCAGCCAATCTATTTTCTTTTTTGTATTTTCTGTGACTAAGCAATTAAATGCAGAGTAGACAATCGGCCTCCTGTTTCCATCGTCACACACATGCCCAGTGTGCGTGAATGGTTTCATCTAATGTGTTTTCAGGTGTATTAGTATGGATGAAGATTATTACCAAAATGCAGTTTGAAATTCAAAACGTAGCTGTATGGAAGCGACCACAGTCTGTACTGCCAGTGATAGTTAAACTTGCTGTGCTTGTGTTTGCTGCCACAGCACTTAAAGTTGTTTGCGACCAATGCTAGTTCATATATTTGAGCAGTCTCTCCAAATACATCACTTGAGAATATTTCAGCCATGGATTTCTGAAAATGTATTTTTGACCTCCGTCTTGGGGAGGCCTGAAAAAATCTTCTCTGTTTTCTTTGTGGTTATAAACCTAAAGCCAGGCAGACTAAGTCTGCCTGCAGTAAAACACTCATCTGGGATTAGAAGCCATTTATTCCGCTCAGTAATACTATGAGAGCCTTGCCTCAGAATCCAATGAATATTTCAACTCTCATTTCATATGCAATCTCTGCTGCTCAGAAGTGTGTATTGCTAGATATCATTCTGTAGGGTTTATTTCTCTATATGTGTGTCTCACCATATGTGTGTGTTTTGGGGAATTACTTTATCGCATTGTATTTGATCCCAGGATGAAAATGTGTATTTTGTATGCCTGTGCTGTTTGTTTTGTTTTTTTCTGCTCCAAAGGTTGGTCACGTACAGTTTCACTGAATTCTTAGGACGTTAACAAAAATAAAGGAAGAATACTACTTTTTTTTTAAATAATATAAGTGTTTGGGACATATATGAGAAATACCCATCAACAAATGAAGTACGTATCTTTACAAAAACTATTTAACAGTCATTATACCTCCAGCATTGAATCCTGTAAAACAAGCTTTAACTGCACATCTCATCTAATGATTCAGAGCTCTCCTCACTATTTCACTTCTACCTAGACTGATATACTTCTCTTTTTTTTTTCCACCTAATTAATAAATACTTCCTCAATCCTGTTCACAATGGGCTGACCACATTTTTGTCATTTGGCAGGATCGCTCAGTTCCGCTCAGCATCTTTCAGAAAGATATTTTCATCGATGGGTGATAAACACCAAACCAGACATGAGCGTAGAGTTTTGACTTTGACCTTCGTTTATCAGAAACACCAATTGAAATGAATGCTACATTTGCTGGGTTAGAGTTATAATATACCAGATAACATTGTGGGATTGTTAGCACAAAGTAGTGCACAGGCTATAGGCACTTTTTTTTCCTACTTGCATTAAAAAAATGATATCACTACACTGTGGATAAAAATCACACTCAGAATTTGTACACTGAAAATGGCAAAGGGGAAAATGTATCACACTATTTTGCAATAGGGATTGATTTGGGGTAAAATCTCGGTCTTGTCCTATCTGATCAATTCTCTGCAATCTTTTTTTCAAACCAGAGAACCAGTGCTGTACCCTCCCCATGCCACAGTGTCTGATCATGAGTGGGATTTCAGACTGCAACACCACATAAAAAAAAAAAAATGCTACAAACAAGTTCACAGTAGCGCAGGGCGAGTGGCAACTAGCCAGCTGTTAGACCAGTGCATGCTGCACTCTGAATCTCTACAAAACCATGGCAACAGGCTCTCATAATAGCAATCTCCTAAATCAGGTGCTGGTCCACTGACTCTGTTATTGCTCCTGTCACTGAATCATATGGCCCCTGGGCTGAGGCTTAGTGTGTCATGTACCCCCCCAAATTCGAGACATGAGAGCTCATCAGACAAACTCATCTTGTAAAATGTCATGTGGGAATTTGTCCACTGCAAAGATACTCCTAACTCGTCACTGTTCTACAGCATGTCTGTGTTAACTGTGTCATGGAAAAAACAAGGCTCAATTATGCTTCCTTTACATACGAAAAGAGTTATGTCAAAAACAAACATGACACCAGGGTGAACAAGCTAATTTCCTCCTCTTCTTTTTTCTTGCAGGTAAGATGCTGTCACATGCAACACAGTCATGCGAGAGCTTCTAAGTTTCCGGAGCGTTTGTGATGTCTGTCTCTCAAAATCAGAAAGGCAAACTCCTCTACTAGCAATGGAAAAGGAGTAAATTACCTTTTTTGCAGGTTTACATTTTAAAAACATGCATGTTCCAATTAATGTTGCTGTGGGATAACAGAGGGAGAGAGTGAACACTCCATTTCTTTTCAAAGGCTCTTACAGCCCTGAAAAAAAAGCCAGCAAATGGAACTTTGTTCTTAATTAGTTCAGAGAATCTCCACAACTGCTGCAGTATTTAAACATCCTTTAAGGTATATAGTATGAGCAGAGGAGAGAAATATACCATACTTTACATTTCCTAGCCGGTAGGTTCTTCAACTTCTACTAGCTGTGAGCAAAATTAAAAATTCGGTTTTAGAACACAGGCTCATTAAAACATATTGATACTGTTTTAATGTGCAGAGCCACTGAGAGAGGGCTTGATATTCATATAAGGTCTTGGTTCAGAAAGGCCTTATAATCTGGGCCATTTATCACATTCTAATAATGTCAGGCTCTATGAGAGGGTATTAAAATGTACAAGACTTTCCAAAGGGGAAAATGAAAAATGACCCATTCCTCAGGGGGGAAATAAGAAAAACAGAGAATATATGGATTGAGTTTCCAAAGGCTCCAAAAGTGAATAGCTAATGACACTGGCTTACGCTACAGGCAAGTTAAAACCACTCCCTTTGAATTTTTGCTTGTGAGGCAATATTCTATCAAAGGGAGTGACTTATGGGGCACTGCAGCTCAATACTCTGGTACACACACTCACACAAAATACCCACTCTAACATTTGTAGAAGCACATATACCTCTACACACACACTGTTATGTAACTAATTAATAAGTATAAATCAAAATTATTATTTGCATGATACGAGAGATTTAAAGTGGCTGACTTAAAGACAGTTATTTTTGCAGGTCTGTGTGGAGAATAAGAGCTGCCTGACATTTGTTTCTCTTCTTAACAGACTGCTTGGCTGGGAATTTCACTACATTCATGTCTGTGTACTCTGCTAACCGTTAATCATACAGGTAATGAGCCATTTTAATGAATGGCTATTAAAGTCCAACCTCACACATTTTAGTTCCAGTTTGCGGGTATTAATTAAGAAGATAAATGTTACATGGCTATTTGTAGTCAGCATAAGGTCAAATAAAAAAACACTGAATTCCTTGTTGTCAGTCTTTCTGTAGCTGCTTTCAGACATGCACTGAACCTCCTGTTCCTCCGCAGTTTCTCCGGAGGTGGTGTATGTTCGAACTTAAATGTCAGCGTGAGAGCCTGCAGACTTTCTATGCAGAAGTCGTGGTGAGAACACAGCCAGATACCACGCTAGATTCACCACGAGCCAGTGGGGCGGGGTTGGTGGCACTTTGAACATATGACAGACTCAAAAGTGGAAAATAAAGAAAACAAGTATCTCAGGATGAAAAAGCAGTGTCACATATGTAGAAGACACTGACGAAGATGTAAAGAGCTGATTCTCCTGCGGAGAAGCTGTTGCTGTTGTGAACACATCTGAGCAGAGATCGTACACAGGACATGTCTGAAAACAACTTATGTTATAGAGGGTGGAATCAAAAGGACATACAACTATTTCAACAGTCTTTTGGCTCTTACCTTGTCTTTGTCTTCCACCAGATCGCTGAGAATATCATCAGGGTCCAGAATCCCCCCATCACAGTATTCAACATGGTGAGTCCGAACCATGAAATCTCCTTCCTATAATACAGGGCACAACCATGGTAGGTCAATAAGTTAGTATGTGAACTGGTCTATTAGCAGATGATGAATTATGAACCTAATTTATCTGTTAATGTCACTACCACAATTCATGATCCTCTGGATAAATCAAGGCAGAAATACTTGGGCCTCAAAAGTACTATTAGTAAAATGAAGGTGGTACATGAAGTTAAGTGGTTTATGGTGGCATTTGTTGTAACTACACATTTATTGTAATTTACTGTCAAATTTTCTCCTACAGCAATAAGGACGTTGGTCTGGGCTATTTACTTTTGTCAGAAGCCGGCTCAAAGCTGGACAAAGTAGGGCAGACCACACATGAGTTTAACTAAAAATAAGTTTATTTAAAGACAAGCAAAATAAATGTATTAGTAGAAATCAAATTTCAACCAAAACCAAATGCTGTGGAAGCCATGGGGGAGAATGGGAGACTGGCTGACTATCACTATGGCAAGACCATCTCCCTGAGGAACAAACTCCTCCCTCAGGCTTCTGCAAGGAGAGGCCTGCTCTGAGAGGGTCGTCACACAAAAATCAATCTGAAAATGAAAAAATGAAATCCTGGTCAAACAGTAGAACTTTTT